ATTCAAAACAGTATCAGCCTCTTTATGGCTGCAGCAGGCACCCATCAGCTTAAATATACAAATGAGGAAGATCCGAGATGGTTTCAGGGACAGGATTACAGCTTCTAAGCTGGGCTGGACACCCTCACGCTCAAACATTCGTGTTTGAAGAAAGGGACCTGCATGATAAATAATGCCCAAGATTTTATCACAGAATTATTGTCTGTTTGGGCTCGACAGCCGCTGTGTGCTCTGCCTTCCACCTGCTGGACAGCTCTCACGCCACCATCCCCTCCTCCAGAAGTTTTTGCTCAATGAGATCCCATCCTCTCCCACTGGACACACTGCCCCTCCAGGCAATGCTGGCCACTCACACTGTGCCAGGAGAAACACTGACCGGACACAGGACTGACCTTGGGAAACTCCACTGACCTCCAGACCTCCCTTCTGGCACCATCTGCCTCACTCTCCTTTCACTCAGTTCTCGCCCTTGTTAATGATGCCTGTACTAAGCTTTCTATTTTCCTTGTTTGGAAAACCAATTCCCAGCAAAGGAAGCAAGCAGAGTACTCTGGCCTGCCCTGTGAAAGAAATCCTTTATCTCATTTCCCACTCATTTCTATGACAGTAATGTCTTTTTTTTTCAGCATTTTTAGAGCTACAAATACCTGTGAGATGAGAGATTTCCAAACAACATTCCCTCTTGCTTTGTGTTTGCTGTTCTTTGACCAAAGCCATTAATCCTTGCCACCAGATCTGCCCTCACTGTAGAGGAAATGGAAAGACTGAGCTGGTATTGGAACTGGGAGGGGGCAGCAAAAGGGTGAGGAAGAAGCAGGACAAGGCTGTGGGGAGCAAGCCTGGCCGTACATCTTTGCCACAGTCATCAGCTGAGACCTTCCCTCCCTCTAGCTCAGCAGCCTGCAGCCACCTTTGTCCATCCTGTTCTCTTTGGTAGAATTTTGCTTGAGCTGAAGGAGCACCATTCCTTCAGGATGGGGACCAAACCCAGAAAGGAGCTTCACATGAGTGCTCAGGTAGGGGTAAGGATGTGACAGGACAGCAAACAGAACTGAAAAAAAAACCCTATCTTGAGAGCACAGCTTGCTCAGCATGGCACAAGCTGAGCTATGGGGTGGCAGCAAATAACCAGAGCAGAGGCCAAGCACTTGCTCATACAGCAAACACCATTCCCTGTGCACCTGACAGAGAATTCACGATGGAAAAAGTGTCTGTGACTCGACTGCTTGATATCCAATTAAATATTCTAAAGAGAGTGGAAGCACCTCTTGACTTTTGGAGGGCATGTATGAATATTTTGGAATATGGTGATTTACTGGCCATAGAAACATACCCAGTATAGTGGCTGTGTATTTATAGTCCTGAAAATGCTGTTTGCAAACTGTGGCTGTTCACTCGAGTGTGATAGATGTATATAAATACTGAGACCTATATATCCACCTCTCCAGCACGTGTGTCCCCACACACTGCACTGGGCTGAGAAGCCTTCTTCTCGTCCCAAATACATGATGTGGTCGGGTGATAAAAAGAAAAGAGTTCCAAATGAAGTCCACATGCCTGTAGAGCCTCCTCTCTCATCCACCAGCCTATTTCAAGGACATACAGCAGCATCAGCTGAGTGAACAGGTGTTGCTCAGTTGGACGCAGCACAGAAATCCAGACTCATAAAGGCTGGGTGGGTTTTTTTTTCTCTTGGAGCAAATAAACCCTGCTCTGTCTACCAATGTACCAGCAGAGGAAATATTGCATCTGACGCCTTCGTTTGATGGCTGTTGTTCCACAGAGCATGAGACAAGCTCAGCTCTCTGTAGGGCTTAAAATCTGGGGGGTGGAGGTGGGGAAGGAGAGCTCCCTGCAGGGCAGGGGGTGGCAGAGGGTGTCTCCATGTGACATGTTCCCCTTGCTCACAGAACATCAGGGTCTGGAGCTCATCCCCTCTACAAGACCATGCCCACATCTCACCCACAACCTGGCACCACTCGTCTCACATCTGAGGAAGAGCACAGAGATCCCATTCCCTGCTCACACCAGTCCCTCTCCCTAGAACACACTTGCTGGAGGAACAGAAGGATGGCCACATTTCAAACATGATCCTGTTTCTGCTGAGAAGTCACATAAACCTATGGAAACGTTCCCAAAACTGCTGTCATGAACAGCTTCATGACACCCTTCATCAACATTGAGTCCTGCCAGACTAGGCTTTGTGTATACCTTTCCCTGGTATTCCAGGGGTATTATTTAGACAACCCTCTCCTCTTTGGGGTTTCCAAAGCAGCTGCTCCATCTTTAGAAACCAAGCAGCAATGCAGACCCTGTCATGGAGCTGCCCCGTGCCCACCATGGCTTCACCTTGGACTCCATCAAACCTGTGGAAGAGAAAGGAAGATGAAAATACATTTGTTGCTGTTTCAAAGCTTTCCCCAGCACATCCCAATGCTCTGCTTTGCTCTCTCAGTCTTCATCACCTTCTCATCAATCTGAGCAGTGACACTTCATGCCAGGGCTCACCTCTCAAGGTTGTGGTGCTCTGGACGGATGTGACACAGAGCAGGGCAGCAGCAGCCTCACACTGTCACCACAGCAGCTCCATCTCCTGTGCCCTCAGCACAAAGAGGGCTCCCCGGGTGGGCCTCAGGGAGATGCCAGGCTGTGACTGGCACATTCAGGTGTCTTGGGAAGCTGCTCCCATCATGGTGGGCTCTGACAGAGCCCAGTCTGCCACTCTCCAAGGAGCCTCACAGGCTTTAAGGACCAGCTAAATAAAAACAAAGCCCTTATCAGCGCCCCACACAATGGCCCTTTCTGCTTCAGCGGTGTCAAACTGGCTCCAGTGAGGCTGTAGATGACACAGAAATGAAGTGGTGGCAAACACAGGCCAGAGCCAAGCTGCAGCCAGCGCGGCAGGAGATAAGAGGAGCCGAGCGGGGGATGCGGGCTGTGACAGAGAGGGGCCGGGCAGGAGGCAAAGCCACAAAGTTTAAACCAAGACAATGGGACTGGATGGATGGTCCTGTTTTTAGTCAAAATTTGGATCTGCTCCATCCTGGGACATCTGGGTCCAAGAGATGCCTGTTCCTGGCCAGCAAACTCCAACGGAGCCTGTGGCTCACTGAGCATCAGGAGTGAAACACTGCTGAGCTGCAGGGCTGGGCTGGCAGCAACCACCAGCCCAGGACTGGGGCAGGTCAAACCCAGTTCGCTGGGAGCCTGGTCCTACTGGAAACGGCAGCCCTGAGCCCTGTGCCCTTTTTCCTCTGAGGAGGGATCACAGATCTCAATGCCTTGTTTGTACAGGCAGTGACTTGAGGGCACGGGCAGTGCCTTAGGGCAGCCAGCTTGGATCTCCTGCCACATCCCAAGACTCTTTCTCTGGAGTGAGCTCTTCCTAGGCTGAAGCAGGGCATCCATAGCCACACTGGTACCAGCATGACTTGGTAACTGGTGAGGACATCTCCCTAGGGCAGGAGACTGTGTCCTGGCCCTGCTTCCAGGACCACATATATATTTTATTGCTGGGAAGGGAAACCCCAGCTATAATCCAATTTGCTGGCACATATCTTCCTCCTACAGCTATTCCCAAGTCTTTTGGGACATTCCTGACCAAGCTGGCATATTTTCAGCTTCCGAGAGAACACCTAAAATGGCAAAATCCCTCCAGGATGGGAGCAAAGCTGTGCTTAGTTTTCAGATGCTGACTGGACTTCAGCATAAAGAAAAGGTTCTTTCCCCGAGGGTGCTGGCACTGCCCAGGCTCCCCAGGGAACGGGCACGGCCCCGAGGCTGCCAGAGCTCCAGGAGCGTTTGGACAGCGCTGCCAGGGATGCTCAGGGTGGGGCTCTTGGGGGGTCTGGGCAGGGCTGGGGCTGCCCTGGCTGATCCTGGTGGTCCCTCCCAGCTCAGGATATTCCATATTCTATGAGGTTGCAGCCTTGACAAACCCTGAATAGGAGTCTCAGGCTATCAGTGAAGCTCTTGTGATCCCAAACTCTGGCATTTCCAGGTTTTGAGGTACCTGTGCCGTGAAAGCTTTAGCTTGTAGGAGTGGAAACACATCTCACCTTTGCCAAGGATGTCTGACTGCAGCGACTCCCTGGGACACTTTGTGGATGTGATTTAGAGGTGAGCTTGGAAAATGGGAAGTGCCAGGAGGGAGCAAAACTACTTTGGTAACATCCGAGGCACTGAGGCTGGGCTGGGGACAAACTTATCCATCCTCAGGTATTGTAACACTGGGAGGGGGCTACAGGTATTGTAAAAAACCTTTGGGGTTTGTGTGCAGGTATTTGAACATCTTTTGGGGGTGTACATGTATTGCAGAACTTTTAGGGTTGATGTACAGGTATTGTAACACCTTTGGGGTTGCATACAGGAATTTTAACATCTTTTGGGAGTGTACATGTATTGTAGAACGTTTAGGGTTGATGTACAGGTATTGTAACACTTTTGGGGTTGCATACAGGAATTTTAACATCTTTTGAGGCTGTATTGTAGCACCTTCGGGGATGTGTGTACAGGCATTTTAGCCTCTTTTGGGGGGTGTACAGGTATTGTAGGAGCTTTGGGGATATGTGTACAGGTACTGTAACACCTTGACGGGAGATGGAGACGTCCGGGGAGGTGAAGAATGGAGCCCATTCGGTCTGTGAGGGCTACACCCCGCAAGTCGGCTGTAACCCACCCAAAATCCCTACACCCCCAACCTCCCACTCCTGCACCCCACAACTCGGCTGTAACTCACCCCAAATCTCTACACCTAAACCTACACAACTCATCTGTAACTCACCCCAAATCCCTACACCTAAACCTACACAACTGGCCTGTAGCTCACCCCAAATCCCCATTCCCCGACCTCCACAGCTCGCCCGTAGCTCACCCCAAACCCCTCCGTGCCCGTCCCGTCCCCCTCCCGTGTCCGGCCGCTCCGGGGCGGGCCGGGGGAAGCCGCGCCCCGCTCTCGTCACGGCGAGGGCCGGGCCGGGCCGGGCAGGAGGCGCCGAGGATCCGGGCCATGGTGGGGATCCCGGGCAGCTGCCAGGGTGAGAGCCGGGGCCGGGGCACGGGCGGGGGCAGCGCCGGGCCGGGCCGGGCCGGGGGAGCGGGGCTGAGCCCCCGCAGCGGGCGCGGGAGGAGGACGCGCTTTGTACCGCAGTCCGTGATCGCTCGGCTGGCTCTGTGTGTGTTTGTCCGCATGCGGGTTCAGTGCCCCCAGCGTGGGCCGCGGGGACCTGTGCCCGCCAGCCCAGCCCGCCGCTGCCCGGCTTTTGCAGGCTGCGGGGGCTCTGGAGCACGGCGTGCAGCCCCCGGCAGTGCCCGGCCTCGGGTGCTGGAGCCAAAGCGGGTTTGCAGCCTCCTGGCACTGCCCACATTGGCACTAAAACACGTCCGTAGAGTGTCCCCGGGAGCGCTGCCACGGTGCAGTACCCACGGCAGAGCTGGGCACGAGTGTTGCCCGTCATGCGGGCACTCGGGTGGGCAGCGAGCTGGCACCTGGGGATGTGTGTGTGTGTGTGTGTGTGTGTGAGTCCTGTGCACATAAACCCTGCTGGTAGCAGCACCCTCCCCGGCTGGGAAGGTGCGTATCTTCAGCTCCATTTGCGTTCGTTTCCCCAAAATCTTGGGTTTGTTGCCAGAAGGGTTGTGCCCTCTGCAAGCCTTGGGGCTGGCAGGACAGCACGCCGTGCCTCTCACCCTATTTCAGCCTCCTGAGCGTTCCTGTGGCCTGCGCTTGTTTGTGCACAGTTGGGAATGGAAATGGAGCCATCCCGGGATGAGGAGTTCGGGGTGCCGGACGGAGCCAGCATGTCTCTGTCTAGCAATGTCCATTACACATGGGCTGGACCATGGCCTCAAGGTGACTCTGTGCATGAGGCATTGCTCAGGAAGGGGGAAAAAACAGTTAAAAGCATATCCCAAGGCTCAGGAAATTCAGGAATTTTAAAATGAAGTGTGATTGCTCATAGGGAAGCAGTGTAAAGATAGATGCTGATGCTAATGTGGAAACCACTCTGCAAGCTGCATTCCCGATATGGAGAAGGAATTACCAAGTGACAGAAGTTGCAAAGAGTGGTTTTACACTTTATTGTGCTGCTTAGGGCAGAATGTGTGCAGATTTTGGGGTGAGCCTGTTAGCCCTTAGGGCAGTTAGAGGTGTACGAGTCTGTCAAGGTGTGTGCACTTTCCCCAGCCCGTGTCCCAGGTGCCTGCAGAGCACCGTGGTAGCAGAGCCGTGCCCATGTCCACGTGGCTTTGGAGAGCCCTGGCACCTGGCTCCTCACCTTCACTTTGTCAGCCCGGAGGAAAAGGCCCCACAGAAGGAGCTCGGGTGAGATCATGTGCTCTAACCCTGCTGTCCAAAGTCTGCCCAGTCTCTCCTTTCCCCAAGCTCCCTTTGAAGTCACGTCGGAGAAGCAGGCGCTGCTGAGGCTGATTCATCTCTCCAGTCTTGGACACCTCTCTCTGAATGAGACAAATTCTGCACTGGAGGTGCCTGGGCTTTTTCACTGACTGCAAGGAGAGCTGGCTAGGCTTTGGCAGTGAGGAACTGGATGAAACAAATCCCACCCAGTGTGTCTGCTGGTGGTGCAGCTCAGTGCTGGGTGCAGAGACTGGTCAGATTCCCTGCTTCCCTGCTTCCCTGCTTCCCTTCCCAGACCTTTGAAATCCTGCTGAAAATATTTGAAGCTAAGGGAGACACGGATGTTGTGCCTCCATCGTAGCTTCGGGGTGGGTATGTGAAGCTGGTTCCTCTCAGCTGTGACACTTTCTGCAACACGGGACAAAATGTTTGAATCTTTTATTGGATTGTAGCACAAATGTATCGATGTGTATATGCCCGTTGAGTTTTGCAGTATTAAACCATGTCTGAAATTAGGAAGAAATTCCTCCTAGTGAGGGTGCTGAGGCCCTGGTGGCACAGGGTGCCCAGAGCAGCTGTGGCTGCCCCTGGATCTCTGGAAGTGTCCAAGGCCAGGTTGAATGGGGCTTGGAGCACCCTGGGACAGTGGGAATTGTCCCTGCCCATGGCAGGAGGTGGAACAAGGTGGTCTTTCAGGTTTCTCACAGCCCAAACCAGTCTGATGTTCTGTGATTAGGGCTTTTCATCTGGGTCTTGCTGACAGAACTGAGCAAACAATCACTGACCCTATGGCAGCAGGGACAGCAAGGCCATAGCCCCTGGCAGGAGAGGCTGAGGGCACCTAGAATGCTTGGAGTGACTCAGTGGGAGCTAAAGTGTTGTTATTTTTTATTCAGTTTAATGTGTCTGTGGCCCAGCATCCATTGGGAAATGCTAAGGATAAGGCTGGTGAGCCATGCAGCTGCTTTATAAAGATCTGCACGTAGATATGTGCTGTAGTCATCAGGACCTTTGTAAATAGATCAGGTAAGGATGCCCTGTTAGAGCCAGCTATTGAAGAGTGTGAACACTTGCAGGAGACATCACTCAGTTCTTGGGCCCAATGTCAGCCCAAGAGCACTGTTGGGATTTATCTTTGGTCTCAAGAAAGCAAGTAATCAGCTGTAGACTCATAATTTTTATAAATCTAATTATCTGCATAGCCAAATGATTTCTGCTGTATTTTACAGATCCTGGCAATGTCAGGAGGTCGCTTGGTTTCTTTGGGTATGTGTTACAGAGAAGTGGATCAGTGCTCAGTGTGAAAGTAACAATGAGGAAAGAAAGAAAGAAAGAAAGAAAGAAAGAAGAAATGTGAGACTGCTTTGAAACTTTGGGATGTTCCATGTTCACTTAAGGCACATACTGGCTCTCATGAATATGCTCTTCTTTTGTTGATATTTCTAATGGCCAGAAATTGAAATGGATCATTCAAGGACTTAGTCTTGATTTTCACATGCTGTAAAATGAAAGGCTTTAGGTGTTCCTCTTCCTTTGTGCTAGTGTTCAGGAGAGTGAAATAAATCGGCATTTTAAAGCGGTCAGAGAAAAGAAAAAGAGTTTTTTGATTTGCGAGCACTCTGAGGATTGAAAAGAGCTTGTACTTGGGGAAGAGCTTGTGGAGTTGACTCTGTTGGAAGCAGGACTGGAGTGGAATAGTGAGCTGAGTGCTTTCCATCATGCTGAGCTGCCAAGGAGTCACAGGCACCTCGAGAGGCTGCCATGAGCCACTGGAGAGGGGGGTGAGCTGCTCAGGTTTCCCTCTTGCTGGCAAGAATCAGAGGTGAACTCTTCCCCTTCAGAAGAAGGAGGTGGCCATAAGACTCAAAAAGGTGAGAAGTGAATCTGATGTAAAAAGTCCCAGGGGAAGGGTTTCTACCCAGACTGGTGATTTACCTGGAATTCTCCAGAAAACCACCTTCAGGAGGGCATTTGTCCAGCCAGCACCTGGGGTTTAAAACTCCTCCTGTGTCGCTGTCACCTTCCCTTGTCTTTGTGCCACAGCCTGACTGCACACTCTTGTTTGATTCAGCTACAGACGTATCCTGGACATCATTTTGGCTCTATTTGTGCACTCCAGGTTAAACAACCCTGACTTTAGAAGTCAATTAAAATGTCCTTTACTGCGTTTCATGAGAGAGCAGCACTAACTTCTACAGGTAGCAACTTTTCTAGCACTCGGACTTGGAGGTCAAATTTGCACATAAGTTTTCCTCAATGACGTGTTTTGCACACTGGGGATAATTTAAAGGATCAGGCTGTTCAGGCAGGGATTTTCTCCAGTGTAGATTTATGTTGGTATTTAAGGTAGTCATTGCTAATAGCCCTCAGCCTTGGGTTGCAAGGATATTTTCACAAAGTATGTGGCATGTTCTTGGCTTGGTTTTGGGGCCATAGGTGACACTTCAGAGCTTGCTAAAAAGTATTTGAAAAATATTACAGAATTCTCTCATTAAAGGTGCGGCTTTGAATGGAAAATGCAGGATTAACCTTTTTTTGCCAGTGGATGTAAAATAATCAGAAAAATACCTAGTGAATGCTTGCAGACCTACCACTGTAAGATTGGACTCGATGGACACACCAGTTTGTTTGCATCAATACCAGCTTCTCCCTGCTTATCTGTTCTTTTTAGTCCTCATGATCTCTTGGGAGTTGGCTTTCACTTCCTAGTAGTGCACCTGGTTGCTGCAGCAGGAAGTTCCTCCCGATCTGTCACCTGACACGCTCCCACCTGGCCTTTGTGTGTGCTTGATCCTGCCTTTTCTGCCAGGAGGCAACAGGAGGAGGAGGAGGAGGAGGGATAAAGGCGTGAAGGAGGTAAAGCAGGGAGGCTGTAGGTGTTTGAGGTGTGTGGGATTGGGCTGGGCTGGCCATGGACTGGTGAGGGATGGTTGGGCTGAGCAGATACTGGCACTGGTGGCACAACAACAGCCTGGCAGCACAGAGGAGCCAGTCCAGGGACCCTTCCTGACCCCCACCCGCTCAGCAGTGACTCTTCTGTCACCTTAACAGGAGTGGTGAGCACACAAACGGGCCTGACAGCTCATTACATCCCAGCTATCTTTTGTTTGTTGGCCAACAAATATTTGCTTTATACTTTAAAGTTGTGCGTCCTGCCTGCCTCTCCGGATCTGGCTGCAGGTGTTGGATCAAACAGAGGTGGGACAGGGGCTGTAGGGTGGGGTACAGCTGTAGGGTCACACGTGGTCCTGGGCAGGCAGGGCTCCTGGTTGTCTGCTTGGAGCACAGGCAGCTTCCTTTCCTTTGGTGGGTATTGTGGGCTGCAATATTTTGAGGCTGCATTCCCAAGAGCGAGTATTTCCCTGGGTCTTGGCTAAGCAGAGGCTTAATTTAACACTTTTTCAAAGTATGGGGACAGCTCAGCCTGAGGCATTTCCAGGTGCAGATGAGATTAATTTGCTTATCTTACTTGAGGGCAGGTATTTGTGCAGGGGAGGTACCAGAGTCAGGATGTTAAAACACAAAGAAGTCAAATGTTCCTCTGTTCCTCCCCCGTTGTGCGAGCTTGTTTGCATTAAAACACCCGTCTGGCAGATCTGCTGCAGGAGCCTTCCCTCCATCTCCTCCTCCTCCTCCTCCTCCTTCATGATTAGCTTTGTTGGGGGCCAAGAAGCCACCGAT